GCTTGTCCCACCAGACGGCCGCCAGCCCCAGCGAGCCAATGGGAACTCTCAGTAGGGGTGGGGGGCACAGAGGGGCCCTAAATTGGGTCTGGGGTCTCGGGGAGGTCCCAAATTTGGGTCGGGGGTCGTGGGAGGGGTCGGGGATTTGGGTCTGGGGTCTGCCCGAATTTGGGGAGGGGTTTCAGGGGGTTTCTCCCAAATTAGGGAAGTGATCTCCTATCAGTACTGGCACCCAACCCTGGGGAAAGGGGAAGTTTGGGGGGGTCCCAAATTGGGTCTGGGGTCTCGGGGAGGTCCCAAATTTGGGTTGGGGATCCTGGGAAGGGTTCGGAATTTGGGCCTGGGGTCTGTCCGGAATTTGGGGAGGGGTCTCAGGGGATTTCTCCAGAATTTGGGGAGGGGTCTCACAGTCACCCCACAGCCACCCAGCCCAGGAAAGGGGAAGTTTGGGGGTCCCAAATTGGGTCTGGGGTCTCGGGGAGGCCCCAAATTTGGGTCGGGGGTCGCGGGAAGGGTCCGGGATTTGGGTCTGGGGTCTGTCGGAATTTGGGGAGGGGTCTCACCGCCGCTTGTCCCACCAGACGGCCGCCAGCCCCAGCGAGCCAATGGGAACTCTCAGTAGGGGTGGGGGGCACAGAGGGGCCCTAAATTGGGTCTGGGGTCTCGGGGAGGTCCCAAATTTGGGTCGGGGGTCGTGGGAGGGGTCGGGGATTTGGGTCTGGGGTCTGCCCGAATTTGGGGAGGGGTTTCAGGGGGTTTCTCCCAAATTAGGGAAGTGATCTCCTATCAGTACTGGCACCCAACCCTGGGGAAAGGGGAAGTTTGGGGGGGTCCCAAATTGGGTCTGGGGTCTCGGGGAGGTCCCAAATTTGGGTTGGGGATCCTGGGAAGGGTTCGGAATTTGGGCCTGGGGTCTGTCCGGAATTTGGGGAGGGGTCTCAGGGGATTTCTCCAGAATTTGGGGAGGGGTCTCACAGTCACCCCACAGCCACCCAGCCCAGGAAAGGGGAAGTTTGGGGGTCCCAAATTGAGTCTGGGGTCTCGGGGAGGCCCCAAATTTGGGTCGGGGGTCGCGGGAAGGGTCCGGGATTTGGGTCTGGGGTCTGGCGGAATGTGGGGAGGGGTCTCACCGCCGCTTGTCCCACCAGACGGCCGCCAGCCCCTGCGAGCCCAGCGCCGCCATCACCACGTTCACGTCGTAGTTGCCGGTGCCCAGCGGGCTGCGGTGGGGGTTGGGCCACGAGCGCGGGGCCAGCCTGGGGGGGCTTCCGGTGAGACCCCTCCCCAAATTCAGACGGCCGCCAGCCCCTGCGAGCCCAGCGCCGCCATCACCACGTTCACGTCGTAGTTGCCGGTGCCCAGCGGGCTGCGGTGGGGGTTGGGCCACGAGCGCGGGGCCAGCCTGGGGGGGCTTCCGGTGAGACCCCTCCCCAAATTCACCCGGACACCGAGACCCCTCCCCGAATTAACTGAGACCCCTCCCCAAATTCACCCCGAGACCCCTCCCCAAATTAACACAGAGACCCCTCCCTGAATTCACCCGGACACCGAGACCCCTCCCCAAATTCACCCGGACCCCTCCCTGAATTAACAGAGACCCCTCCCCAAATTCACCCGGACACCGAGACCCCTCCCCGAATTAACACAGAGACCCCTCCCCAAATTCACCCCGGGACCCCTCCCCAAATTAACTGAGACCCCTCCCCGAATTAAGAGA